TATTGACGACTCCTCCGGTTTTGGCATATCCTGACTACACTCGACCTTTTATTTTGCGCGTGGATGCTTCTGACATTGGTCTTGGAGGTGTGTTGATGCAAGAGAGCTCGAGTGTGCCTGGTCAGCGCCATCCCATTGCATACATCAGCCGTACATTACAACCAGTGGAGATGAACTACTCCACGACGGAGAAGGAGTGTTTAGCAGCAGTCTGGGGTTTCGAGAAACTTCATGCATATCTACATGGTTCTCGGACGTTACTTGAAGGTGACCATGCTGCTGTTACTTCATTATTGAAGCGGAAGAACCTGGTTGGTCGTACGGCTCGATGGGCTTTGAAGCTTCAGATATATGATTTCGATGTTGTTTATCGCCCAGGGAGTTCTATGGCTGATGCTGATGCCCTTTCTCGAGCTCCTCTTCCTTCTCCACTCACTTCTCATGTTTCTGACGAACCTGTTGTTCCAGCATCTGTGGATTTTCTAGATGAGGATTCTGTGCCGTCGGCGGTTGCTGTCCTTGACGTTCAGTGTCCACAGGGCGTAGAGCAAGATCTACCTTCTCTTGATGAGGTTCGCGAGGCTCAAAAGATTGAGCCGTGGATTCGAAGGCTTCGAGATGGGTTTGAGAATCCTGCATCATTTGCTGATGACTTGCCTTTTCGGCATTTACATTCTCAATATCGCCTTGAAGATGGCCTTCTTTATTTTGTGGGGACGGATCCTGCTGATCATTTACGGCTGGTGGTGCCTTCGGTGTTTATTCCGCAGTTTCTCCATGCCTACCATGATTCTCCTATTCTAGGTGGGCATATGGGACACCGTCGTGTCACCGAGAAGCTGCGCAGATATTTCTATTGGCCAGAGATGCGACGTGATATTATCTGGTATGTGCGTAGCTGCGTTTGGTGCCAAGCTCGTAATACTCCCCCTTGTGCTGCGGAAGGACGGTTGGAGTCAATTGCAGTTTCTCGTCCGTTTGAGTTGGTGGCGTTTGATCTTATGGGACCTTTTCCGCGATCGACTGCTGGCAATGAGTATGTTATTATTGCTTCTGACTATTTGACTCGTTAGGTGGAAGTTGGTGCTCTTGCTAGTGCCTTTGCAACTGCTGTTGGATACTTCCTTCTCAATCGAGTGATGTTCCAACATTCTTGTCCAGAGCAGATTCTTTCGGATAATGGTCCTGCATTTATGGCTGAGGTATTTCATGTTTTGACATCTCGGTTGGGGATACGCCACACTTTTACGAGTGCTTATCATCCACAATCAGACGGTCTGGTGGAACGGCTCATTCGGACATTCAAAGGGATGATTGCGAAGTATGTGAACTTTCAACATTCGGATTGGGATGGTTATTTGCCGTCTCTTCGGTATGCCTATGTCACAGGGGTGCAGAGTTCTGTTGGTGCTTCACCATATAAACTTCTATATGGTCATGATCCAATATTACCAACAGAGCTGGGTTTACCTTCGCGATTGCCACGAACTCCTGATGCTAGGTCATGGGATCAATATTTGACAAGCATTCTTCCACTTGTCCGAGCAGAGTCTGCTGAACACTTAGGCCGTGTACAAGTGGGACAACAACGGCGCTACAATTCCCATCATCGTCCCCCTGCAGAGTACAAAGTGGATGATTTGGTGTTAGTCCGTTTTCCCCATCTTACGGTATGTGGTTTATCTAAGGGGCTCCTTGCGCAGTGGAAAGGACCGTATCGGGTGTTGCGGCAAGTTGGACCACAAGTTTATGAGGTTCGGCATGACGTTCAGCAGGCCAATCCTCCGGAGATTGTGCATGTGCAGCGGTTAAAACGCTTCATACAAAGGGATCAGGAGCAGTTAATACTGTCTACAGATTCACCAATGCCTCCTCCTGACGTTCCTCCAGATCCCGGCCCATCTACAAGAGAACCTTGACGGCCTTCCATTATTCCGAGGGGAGGGGATGATGTGAGGGCCAAGTGTATGGCTACGATGCCGTATACTAATATTAGCGTAATGGATTTTGGTAGCCGTCGGATTGGTTTTAATCCGGACCACTCGCTCCTGTATATAAGCTAGGGTTTTTGGGCTAATTGATATGCACATTTCTGTATTCCCTTTCCATATTCCATGCACTCACATAGCTATTATTATCATTAAATTTATTAATGAATTCTAGATTTAGGTGGTATAATTATATAATTTTCATTTGAAATTTGGTCAAAATTATCATCAAACTTAAGTCATCTTTTGAAAGATAATTTTATTTAAAATTATATCTATTGATTATTTTTAAATAGGTATTGATGAATAATTGATTAGCTTTTGAATATTCTAGCTATTTTTTCTTTAAGTTATTAAAGAATATTTTGTAACTATTTAATTAAATGTAAAAGATAATATTATAATCTTTTTATTTTTTAAAAAAGGTTAAGATTAAATAGAGAGATTAACTTATAATGTAATTTCTTTTGAAAATATATAATAATATAAAATAAAAATTATAAAACTATATATTTATTAAATAATAAAAAATGTTATCGCACTACTACATTACTCTGCCAAATTTATGTGTTAAAAAGTAATTTTAAATCTAATCTTTATGTTTGTTATTTGGAAAATTAAGTTTAAAGTTGGAGTAATTTGTAAGAATATAATATTACATTATTCAAAATAATTTTTTTACATATGAAATAAATACCTATATATTCAATAACAATCAATAATCTAGTTTTTATGCCATCCTTCTTTGAGGAATTTCTAATAAATTTATAAAAATATTTTTTAAAAATTTAAGTAGAAAATATTTAAAGTATTCAAAAGAAAATTGATATTTATTCATCTTAAGACTACAAAAAAAATTTATGTCATAAAAAAAATTAATAGTGCATTAGGTTTTCTCAAACATGCTTTCTCAAACATACAATAAAAATACTAGAGAAATTGAAAAACTTAGTCCACCTTTATATATAATTATTACAAACTAAATTAGTACCTAAGAAAGTTAATGTAGGCCACGTGGCTTACGGTGATTGAGTGCATGGAACAGGAAAGGTGTCGGCCAAGTAGCATCTTATATATGCTTACAAGAACAAAAGCTTTCTCAAGGAAATTTGGGTTTTGGAGTTTGTTTTGTTGGCTTGATAATCGCGAGAGAGCAGCATAAGCTAGAGACAAGATGCCAGGCATTTCGATTGGAGATGAGATTCCGGACATCCACGCCGACTCTACTCACGGCCCCATAAATCTTCACGAGTTTTGCAAGAACAACTGGACGCTCGTCTTCTCTCATCCCGGTAAGAACGTTCTTGTTCCAAGAAGGCAAAAAAAGAGGCATTTTGCTTCCCCTTCTTTCAGCTGACTTCACTCCGGTTTGCACCACCGAGCTCGGGAGCGTCGCCAAGTACCAGCCCGAGATCGAGAAGCGAGGAGCCAAGCTGCTGGGCCTCTCCTGTGATACCGTCGAGGAGCACAAGGCCTGGACCAAGGATGTCGAAGCTTACACGGTGCGCGTCTTCCATCTCTCGCTGCAGTGCAGTGATCTTATACCTATACCTTCCATCTGTTTTCTCTGTGAATCCGGGAACTAGACTGGAGCATGCGTCAAGTACCCCATCATGGCCGATCCGACCCGGGAGATCTCCAGGAAGCTCAATATGCTCGATCCGGACGAGAAAGATTCGTCGGGGCAGCCGGTTGCTTCGAGGGCTCTTCACATCGTCGGTCCTGACTGTCGGGTAGGATCCTTTGCATGCTTTCGCTTCTCATCCTCTTCGTTTCATGCGTTGTCTCTTCTCTCTCTTGCAGATCAGGGTGAGCTTCATGTATCCTGCCTCGGTCGGACGCAACTTTGACGAGGTGATCCGCGTGCTGGATGCGCTGCAGCTCTCCTCCAAGCACAAGATTGCCTGCCCCGTTAACTGGAAGCCCGGCGATCACGTCGTCATCTCCCCCTCGGTATCCGACGAGGAGGCCAAGAAGATGTTCCCCCAGGGATACAAGACGGTCGATCTTCCTTCCGGGAAGAAGTACATGCGTCTTGTCAAGGTGGATTAGATGTGTGAAGTCCTGAGTCTTATATGACTTATCTGCGTGGAAGTAATAATATTAGTAGAGCTTGTTAAGAACTAGCTTCTGCATGCTTGAAGAACCAGCTAACATGATTGAAGAACCAGCTAACGTGCTTGAAGGTAGTAGAGAACCACTTCGCTTCATCTTATTCTTGAGTAGCGTCATAGTTGTCATAGGAACGAGAGGAACAGTTCCATCTTGATCTAGAAAACCCAAAACAAAACGGGAAAAATTCGACTTGGAAGTCTTGGAAAAAGAAACTTTCTTACGACTTTTATCCTGCTCGGAGCTTGTTGATTCGTGGCAGCTGCTGCTGCTGCTGGAGGTTCTGGTTTTGCTGGAGATCGAGAGGCCTCTTGAAGAGCATGATGTGAGGCTCGGGCCTGTGGATGGCGTAATGTACCCATCCCCGGGATTGCTGGACGCCAAGAGCACGCCACTGCTCCTGGAAAAGCAACGAAAAGCTTGAATAAGGAATGGATCGATCACGGTGGTTGCACACCTCTGTCAGGAGTTTGTTTTTCGGGAGATTCTTTGCGATGTCTGGAGGGAGCACTACGTGCCTGGAAAGAGAGCATGGCGCGATCCTGGAATGGAAGAAGCGCTAGGGTTACCTGTACTCGTAGACATCGTCGTTGTAGCGCTCGGAGTAGTAGATTTCGGTCGTCTGGCCCCCCATTCTCTCGATCCTGGCACCGACGCAAGGGATTTACAAAACCGCGAGAAGAATCGATCGAGCGAGAGAGAGAAGAGAGAGAGGACCCTGGAAGACGATTGCCGCTCGAAGAAAACCCTGATCGATAGACGCCCGAATTCTAAGCGGGAAACGGTCGTCTAGCGAATGCCACAATGCCACGTGTTAGGGCACTTTCCAACGGGTAGTTCCATCTCGTCCGTCGGTGTAATCGACGATCGACAGCTCCAGCTTGCCCTAATGCTGGAGAACGCGAATCTCTGCGATGACCAAAGGATTTTCTTGGCGCGGCTCCAAAATCCACGGAAGCACGATCGCTCGCGGCGATCAAATGTACAGATCAAGTGCAGGGGTAAGCGCTCATACTTCCAGTGTGTGTGCAAATTTGTGTAAAAAGATTTGGTCCTCGCAAGTGCGCTGCCGGTGATGCCGCCCTCGTTTTCCAGCGCCAAATTTGTGTGCGCGATGCGATGCCATGGACTTTGGACTTACAGTTGAGCTAATCCATCGTTTCTTTCTCTCGTGTTTCTTTCTCCAGGCCCTTTGGCTTTTGCCATTAGCTTTAAGTCAGCGCCATGGGCATAATGCGACACGCTCTTGCGGCCCAGTCACACTCTTTTCGCCGTCCTCCGTCCAGCAGCTAAGTCTTTCAATGCTTATAAATTTCCCAGGCAGTCAGTTCGTTGGAAATCAATTGCTGCTATTAATCGCGGTTCCAGCTTGCAGGGAAGCTCCATCCTCATGGTGGAGGATCGAGGCTAGAATTTTTCGGGCATTACGTACTCGAGTCATCGAGCGAACAAGGAGGTAACTTCGGTTTTTTTGAGTTTTCAAGTCAGTCATGAGCACGGTGGTGGATTTCCTGAGCTCGGCACAGGGATGGAACGCTGCGTGCATGGTTGCGGCAGCGCTGGTCTGTGTTGTATCGGTGATGCTGGGAAGAAAAGAGAACAGGAATTTGCCGCCAGGTCCTCCCGGCTGGCCGATCATCGGGAACTTAATGCAGCTCGGTCCCCTTCCACACAGGACAATGGCTGGCTGGTGCCAAAAGTATGGACCTCTCGTCTACTGCAGGCTTGGCTCCACTCCGACCATCACCGCTAGCTCGCCTCAGATGATCCGGGAGCTGCTGTGGACTCAGGACGAAACTTTCGCGTCTCGGCCGAGAACTACTGCCGGAAAGCTCATGGCTTACCACGACCAGAACGTCGGGCTGGCTCCTTATGATGCTCACTGGAAGCTGATGAGGAGGATTTGCGTGGAGCACTTGCTGACAACGCGAAGGATGGAAGGCTTCCAGAAGAGCAGGGCGGAGGAAGCTCGCGACCTGGTACAGATTATGTTCAAGGAGGCCAAGGCTGGGAACACCATCAACATGAGGGAGCACTTGGGAGGCTACACCATGAACGTGGTGACCAGGATGCTGATTGGAAAGAGGTACTTTGGAACCGAGTCCATGGGTGAGAAGGAGGCCACCGATTTTCGGGAGCTCATACACGCGGCGATTGTCCTGCATGGAGTTTTCTACATTCCGGATCACGTACCTCTCCTCAAGTGGATTGATCCCAACGGTTACAGGCGCCTGTTTAAGAAGATGGGGAAGCGAATGGACGACTACTATAGCTACATTGTCGAGGAGCACCGGAAGAGGCAGCGAAATGGTGAAGTGGTCGACGGTCCTAAGGACTTTGTGGACGTTCTTCTCGGCCTGGCTGGTGAGAACAGCGAGCTGCATCTCAACGACGTGGAGATCAAAGCACTGATACAGGTAAAAAAGAGTTTTTTCTTTGTTCTTTCGTATTACAAGGCAGTAAAGCTTTCTCTCAGGATATGGTCGTGGGGGGCACCGATACCGCGTCCTTCACTATGGAGTGGTTTATGCTCGAGATGATCCGGAACCCGAAAGTCATGCGGAAAGTGCAGGCGGAGCTAGACTCGGTGCTGCAAAAGAAGGCCACCAACAAGCACCTGCTGGAAGAGTCGGACCTGGCGAGCCTCGACTACCTGAGAGCAGCGGTCAAGGAAACTTTCAGGATTCACCCGGTTGGCGGCTTCCTCATACCTCACGAGTCGATCCGGGACACCAAAGTTGCCGGCTACCACGTCCCCAAAGGCTCGCTCATCCTCATCAACACTCACGGTCTGGGAAGAAACGCCGCGGTGTGGGACAACGTCGACGAGTTCCGGCCCGAGAGGTTCCTCAGGCCCGAGGACAAAGTCCACCTCCGCGACTCCGAGTACCGCGTCATTCCATTTGGCTCCGGCAAGCGCGCGTGCCCCGGTGCGCAGCTCGGGCAGTCGATGCTCCTCCTCGGCCTGGGACGACTTCTTCACGGCTTCGACTGGTTTCCACCGCCGGGAACGAGCAGGGAAGACATCGACGTTATGGAAGCTTACGGCCTCACAACGCCGCCGAGAACTCCGTTGCGAGCAGTGGCGAAAGCTCGTCTGGATCAGAGCTTCTACTCTTTCCATTGATCGAGAGAAGTTCCTCCCTCACTCTCTGGCGGAGCTCGGCTGGATCACGTAAAAGTTCGATCGTAGTGGAATAAAAATCCAGGGAGGTCGCTCGCTACTTTTGGAGCGATCTAGCCAGGAAAAGAGAAGGAAGAGAAGAAAAAGCGATGTTAAAAAGCTTGCTTTTCTTTCGATCGAGAATCTATAGAGCTAACTAATGTGTGTGTCGCCTTCAATACTTCTCTTTCACAAGGATTTCAAAGATCTCTCATGACTAACGGGAGTGTCGATCGTGGCCGTCGATGAAAGGTCCAAAAAATAGGTTGAAAGTAGTAGTAGCTTCACTCCGCCCATGGCGAGCAGGAACAATGCCGCCGCTGGTGGCGGCGGCACGGCATCTCCCGGCGGCGCTGCTGGCGGCGGCGGCGTGAGCAGGCGCGCGGGCGCGCTGTGGCGGCTGCTGGTGGCGATTGCGATCCTCCTCGTGGTCGGCGAGACTGTGATGCTCCTCCGCGTCGATCTGCTGGGGAATGCGAGGAGCGCGCTGCGCTTCACGGAGAGGAGGATTTCCGGCTCCAGGGATCGCTGCGAGGATTGGCTCGAGGATCAGGACCGGGTGAGTACTTTGCGCGATTTCGACAAGGAACCAGTGCGCGTCGATTTCTCCGAGACACAGGTAAGTGATATTTCGGGCTCTACTCGAGTTACTGGCGATGATCTCTGGGGGTCGTATTCTTCCAGGGGACCGACAATTGCGCGGTGAGATGCCAATTTGGGGTGATCACCATGGCCACGAGGAAGCGCGTGGATGCGGTCTTTGGTCTCAGTGCCGACGAGGGCGTTGCTCGTGTTGCACGGACGATGGAGTCTAGTCAATACTACTCCGAGTTTGAGTTAAACACTGCTCGAAGGTTTGTGTGTCTTTGATTCCAAGTTATCGCGAGTAATGTTTTGAGTGTTCTTGCAGTCACGGGTACACAGTCATTATGACGACGAGTCTGAAATCAGATGTTCCAGTCGGGTATTTTTCGTGGGCAGAGTACGATCTGATGGCTCCAGTCCAAGAGAAGACGGAGAAATCCTTGGCTGCCGCTTTCATCTCCAATTGTGGCGGCCATAACTTTCGGCTGGAAGCGATCACCAAACTCCAAGGCTATGGTGTTGCTGTGGATTCTTATGGATCGTGTCTGACAAACGTCCATCGTTGTAAGTAGCTCGTTCTGCCGTTGTATTTGGGATGCTGTTTTTAATCCGACACTTTTATTGTGTAGAGCAGCGGTGGAAAAAGTGGATGCATTGCGCCACTACAAGTTTAGCTTGGCGTTTGAAAACTCCAACGAGGAAGATTATGTGACTGAGAAGTTCTGGCAATCGCTCGAGGCTGGTATGTTTATCCGTGTTTTGCACTGATTGCTCATGGACAGTTCTGCAGGCTCCGTTCCGGTCGTTATTGGTGCACCAAACATTCAAAACTTTGCGCCTTCGCCAAACTCCATACTCTATCTTAAGTCGATAAAGGACGTGCAAGCAGTGGCCAAGCAAATGAAGTATCTTGCAAGAAATGCTACAGCATACAATGAAACTCTCCGGTACGCAGGCACGCTCGCTTAAAAACAGAGAATAGAGGACTAACCTGGTTGTTGGTTGGCCTTGCAGCTGGAAGTTTGAGGGACCAACGGATTCATTCAAAGCATTGATTGACATGGCTGCTGTTCACTCTTCATGCCGTCTCTGCATTCATGTAGCCACCGCTATCCACCAGAAGCAGGAACAAGAAGCGTTTCGTAGTCGCAATGCGTCCCGACCTTGTAAATGCAGCGTCGGCTCCACGACGACGTTCCATCTTTATGTCCGAGAGAGAGGAAGATTTCACCTGGAATCCATCTTCTTAAGGTACACTTGGTCGCGACTTCGACTTCTTTACATTCCAAGCACTTACTCGCTTTCATTACAACAGGTCTGACAACCTCTCGGTGGCTGCTCTCGAGGCAGCTATCATATCCAAGTTCAGCTCCAAAAACCACGTCCCAATCTGGAATGCTGCGCGTCCGGAGATGCTCAAGGCAAAAGGCCCGCTCAAAGTCCACACAGTTTATCCAGTCGGGCTCACGCAAAGGGAAGCGCTATTCTCCTGGCAGTTCACAGACGAAGACCTCGTGAATCACATCGACGCGAATCCCTGCGCCAAACTGGAGGTGATCTTCGTGTAGAAGCTCCCAGAAGCGACGAATCAACGTTGCGGCTCCGGTTTCTCTTCGTCGTCTAACAGGTAGAAGCAGCAGTTAACTTTTTTGGACACCCGTCACCGTGACAGGCCGAGGATTCCCGTTTACTTTTTTTTGGTAGCAGCGAGGGAAGAGCTCTCTCTCGCGGCGTGGACGAAAGGCGAAAAAGAGAAAAAGAAGCTTGATTGATCCGGTCGGAGGGAAGTTCTTGGTGCGCCGCTCACTCAAATCAATCGCGCAAAGAGGCTTTTGCGAGGGATTAATCAAAGAAAATGGGACTTTGACGAGTAGTGGTGCCACCATCTTTTCGGGGGCAGTAGTACAAAATCAAAGGAAAACAGCACAAAGCAAAGCACTGATGGATCGAAGGATCACCACATGGAACTTTATAACCGACTCTCAACAATGATATATTCCACAAGCCATAGAGATAATAGTTTATACGTATGTTGTGTGTGTGTGTGTGAGAGAGAGAGAGAGAGAAGATCCTAGGGAATAGAAGAACATTCTGATTGATTGATGTTAAATGTCTTGTACATTGGTCGGGGAGATTAAAAAATTTGTAGGAACAAAGATCAAGGCTATGGTTGGATGATCGCGATTATGTTAAACTGCCAGTGGCTGGAAAGAAAGGCTTTATGGTGGCGGCGAATCGTAATGTGGCGTTTGGACAGCTGAGATTCGTCGTGGATTCTCTGCCGGAATGGCCAGCTGGTGGAATGTGTGTGTGTGTGTGTGTGTGTGTGTGTGAGAACTTTGCCATGATTTTGGCTCGAGGATTTTCTTGTGGAACTTCTTGCTTTTATTTCCTCGGCCAAGAGCGCCAACGCCTCTGCGCAGCGCTCTAGGGTTTTCTCTCTCGATCGAGACGCCGACGACATCGCGGGAGCGAGTGATCTCTTTCTTCTTTCTTGGACCGATTTTTGTTGCTGTAGAGCACAGGTAGCTCGCGATCTTGTTGTGACTCGGTCTCGGTCTCGCGCAAGATCTATGAGGAAGGCGGCCGAAATGCCGCCTTTGGATTGCGGCAGCAGCGAGCTCCTGTCCGTGGAATCCAGCAGGAGCACGCCGGCGCCCTTCTTGACCAAGACGTTCCAGCTCGTCGACGATCCCGGCTCGGACGATATCGTGTCGTGGGGCAGCGATGGCACCACATTCGTCGTGTGGAAGCCGCCCGAGTTCGCCACCGATTTGCTCCCCAGCTACTTCAAGCACAACAACTTCTCGAGCTTCGTCCGGCAGCTCAACACATATGTGAGTTCCATTCCAAGCTCTTGTTTGTTCGTTCGCTCGCTTTGCCTTCCTATCTTTCTCTCGTTCTTCCACCGAGCGTTTGCTTCGATCCTTGCAAGAGTCTCTCTGGCAACTCACTCACATTGCAACAATGCTGTGTGCAGGGATTCCGCAAGGTGGTTCCCGATCGCTGGGAATTCGCGAACGAGTTCTTCCGCAAGGGGGAGCGCCAGCTACTGTCGGAGATCCACCGGAGGAAGACGCCGCACTTGGTTTCGAATGGGATGCCGCTCATGGCGTGGAGCGACGATCACCTGGCCTCCTCGTACATGCCGGTGCTGCCTTACATGGACACCGCGTCGCTGCTGAGCGAGGACAACGAGAGGCTCCGCCGCGAGAATTTGCTGCTCACCAACGAGCTCCTGCGCCTCCAGAAGCTCTACGAGCACGCCGTGACTTTCATCCAGCAGCAGCAGCAGCAGCAGCAGCACGGCAAGCTCGGAAGCACGGGATCGTTTCTTCGCAGCAGCAAAGAGTACTACGAATTCACGAGCTCCAAGAGGATGGTCATGACGACCACCGACGCGATGATCCTCGACAGCGGCTTGGCGAGGGTGGCCTCCGCGGGAGATCGAGTGGCAGCGCTCGCCGCCAAGGACGAGAAGCCCAGCTACAACAATTCCTCGTCCTCGGGCTGCACGGACGAGTCGAGCGTCTCGGCGGCGGCGGCGGTGGTGGATTGCAGCACCACTCCCACCGCGTCCACGATCGCGTTCGTGGACGTGAAGCTCCGGGAGATGGCCGCGCACGCCGCCAGTGAAGAACACCGCCACCACCACCGTCCTTGTCCTGGCGATCGTCGAGACGACGATCAGGAAGACGATGGTCTGGGAGGAGCAGGAGGAGGAGGTCCAAAGCTGTTTGGAGTGTCGCTGGGCAGGAAAAGGCCTCGCGGCCCAACACCCGACTGGACAGAAACCAGCCATCAACAATCTTAGAGAGAATCTCAAGGTGCTCGGGCTCGGGTCAGTTTTCTTATTTTTCTCTTTTTTCGTTTTCTTATGCTTTTCTCGTTAGTGTTCTTCCTGTTCCTCGAGATCGAGCTAACATCCGCAGCGATTCTTACAGTTAAAAAAGAGGCTCCTTTCCTTCTCCCTAGAATAGATCACTGGAGGACTACCGGACTGGAGGACGCACTCTCACTGCTTCTAAGCTAAGCTCACAGGCTCTACACTAACAAACACACACTTGTAACGCAGATGGATCTAGCTTCTAGGCCACAGCGAGATCTCTCTCTCTCTCTCTCTCGGGTTACGTATCATCCCAGATCGATTGAGGAGAAAAAGAGAGAGAATCCAAATCAATCTTTTGATCCAAGAAGTGGTTTTTTGTGTCTTTGTGGAGTTTCTCGCCCCGGATTTTGATTAGTTCCTTGGGCTGCAAGGGACGTCCGTACGCTGGCAGCGTGCTGTTTTATCGTATCAACGTCCCTTTCGGAGGATTAAGAGGAGAAATCCATCTCCGCGCCCCACGCTCTTGGCACTGGGCTGACCCGCCGACGAAGCAAAGAAGAGCGAGAGAAGGGAGACGAACATCGCAATCGTGGTGTTTAGAACAAAGGCATTTACAAAGCCATTGACCTTGGGCGGGCATTTGTGGCGTGGATGGTGGCATTCTTGCGTTGGAGTGGCGACTCGGCATTGAATCGCATCAATGCCCCTGCTTGGGCGAAAATGGGAATTTCTTTTCTCTCTCTCTCTCTTGTTCCTCGCTCCATCCATCCAGTTTCCATCCATCCAGTCAATGCAATCCAATCGACCCAATCCAATCAAGCCCATCCAATCAAGCCACCATCACATTCTGCGAATTGTTTAGGGCTGGAGAGGGGTTTAAGTAAGGTTTATACAGTGAATTAACCCAACCTATAGTAAATTCTCAATAGCTTCTTCTCTTTGGATGTTAGATTCTTTTCTACTACTTCTATGATATGGCATGGCAGTCAATCCATTATGCTCGTTTAAATTCCGTGACAAGTGACAAGGTGATGATCATCGAGATCAAGCTTTGGCAAGCTGCTGATAAGCTCGATTGCGAAAGAGCGAGCATTTGACACCCAGACTGACCGGGCCTTGTAACTTACTGACTGGAAGGTGGAAGAGACAAAGTGTGTACTTTGGATCCTGCGTCTCCAAGCAAAGCTCCCGTGAGAAAACGCGCTCTCCCTGCCAAACATCCCAGCGGTTCATGTCCGATCTACACATTAAAAACAAAAAAAAAATCTCACCTTTTTTTACCATTTCTTTTTCTTTTTCACCTCTACTTCTCGTGACAAAGGACGAGGGCTAAATCGCCGCCGGACAAGGAAGAAGAGATTTTGCGTACGGCACGAGCGTACTTGGAACACAGTAAAGAAGGCTGTGTGTGTGTTCCAAATGCCGGCTGTGTAAGCTATGGGCCAGGGCTAGAGCTCAGCTAGCTATACTCTAGCGATATGGAGGCTCTAGAAGAATGCGATGAATCCATAGTTTCATATGCCAATCCATCATCCATTATCCATCCATGATCCATCCATCCTGGACAAATAGAGTGTGGAGGAGAACATATAGGCTAAGGTAGTTATTGACACACACATACCATGGCACGCAAAAAATTCTCACTGCCTGGTTAGGGGTTCGATTCCTGTTGCGTCACTTTAACTTAACCCTCTTAGGTCAAAATTTCATCTCTTTACGTAACTTTTTTAAATGTAAAAAAGTAACACCATGCGCTTTTAAATTTGAAACGAACGTTAGTGGAGAGCCAGGAGCCCTAATTAGGGCTTGTGGAGCTGGGGCAGGGATGGGCGGTGGCAGCAGCGGCGGCAGCAGCAGCCGGGACGAGTTTGGGCGCATCGTGGCCAAGATGGCGGTCGCGCAGATCTGCGAATCGGTAGGCTTCCACTCGATCCAGGCGTCGGCCATGGAGACGCTGGCGGACGTGGCCATCCGCTACCTCCGCGACCTCGCCCGCGCCGCGCACTTCTACTCCAACCTCGCCGCGCGCATCGAGAGCAACGCCTTCGATTTGATCATGGCCATGGAGGACGTCGGCCCCGCGCCGCCGGCCGCCGACCCCTCCCGCCCCATCGCCCGGAGCTCCGCGCTGCGCGAGGTGATGCGTTTCGTGGAGTACAGCGAGGAGATTCCATTCGCGCGGCCGCTGCCGCGATTCCCCGTGGCCAAGAAGAGGCTCGCGGCGCCCAGCTTCGCGCAGCTCGGGGAGGCCCCGCCAGGATCACACATACCGTCGTGGCTCCCGGCTCTTCCAGACCCACACACGTACCGCCACACGCCCGTGTGGCCCGATCGCAAGAGAGAGCCCGCCGCGAATCGCCTGGAGCAAGCTCGGCAGCGCCGAAAGGCCGAGAGCTCTCTCGTCGCGCTCCACTCGCGGCTCTCGTCCACGGCGAGCATGGTTTTCAAAGACAGGGAGAAGGAGAACAGTGGCAGTGAAGAGAATGTAAGTGGGAGTGGGAGTGGGAATGCTTTCCTGGCGCCGCCGCTAGCGCCCGGGGCCAAGGAGCTCATGGTGGTCCAGTTTGGAGGATTCAAGGACGGAGGTGGCGGGGAGAATGCCGGGGTGGTGCCGCAGGTGCCTTCGATCGTGGAGGCGTTTGCGTCGGTGGTGGAGTCTGCGAGCAATGGTAATGGTGACGGTGGTCTCGAGATCCAGGACGGTGGTGGTGGCAATGAGAATGGATTGGCTCTGGTGGAGCAGTCACAGCCACAGCCGCAGCCACAGCAAAAGAAAGGCGAGCTTTTGGAGAGTAACCGGAGCCAGAGAGTGGTGCTGAGCTTCGACTTTGGTGGCAAAGCGGGTTCCAAGGGGGTGTTTGCGAAGAGGATCCTAGCGGCGAGCAAGCAACAACAGCAGCAGCAGCAGCAGCTCCTCAAGCGGCAGAGGTCGTCGGTTGCAAACGCCGAGGATGATAAGGACGAGAGGAAGAAGCGAGCCGAACAGATAATCACACAGGGAATGGACACCATGGCCGCTTCGTGATCGATTCTTTGCAATGGTGGAATAAGTTCTCCTACAGCGACAATCCGCCAAGCTTTCCAAGGTACACTTCACGAGTTTTTATTTACAAGGGGACGGGGGATCACACTATTGATCGGAATAGCGACGAGAGTCTCTATACTTGTGGACTTTCTTGCAGATGTAGATCATCGCGCAGAGGAGAGCCAGCGCGAGGATGAAGCCGACGGCTATGCCCGCCTTTTGGGCCGGAGTTGCAGGGGCTGGATCCACTGGAGTGATTGGAACACTCGGGGGTGGTGGACGAGGCTTTGGAAATGGTGGCGGTGGCGGTGGCGGTGGTCTCTTTGGGGGTGGAGGGGCGAACTTAGGCGGTGGTGGTGGCGATGGTGTCCTTGGAGGTGGAGGGGCGATCTTAGGGGGTGGTGGTGGTAACCTTGGAGGTGGAGGACAGATCTTAGGAGCTGGAGGAGGCGTTGGAGGTGGTGGAGGATTGAGCTTGGGAGGTGGCGGACGAGTAGGCGGTGGTGGTGGCGGTGGAGGCGGTGGCGGAGGGGGAGATCTCCGTGGTGGTGGCGGCGGTGGTCTTCTAAATCCTGGATACGAAGGTGGCGATAAGTTTGCTCTTGGAGAGGGTGGGACGAACTTTGGATATGGTTTTGGAGGACTGTAGGGGCCTCCCGGCCTGGGATGTGAGAATGGTGGTGGACGTGGGAAGTAGTAAGGTGGAAATCCGGATCTCGGGGGTGGTGGTGCTGGAAATCCTACTTCTGGGAAGTCCCGCAAACCTGGATCATCGTCATCGTCTTCTAGTCCGTGGTGCTGGTAGTAGTAATCTGTCCAGCAAGCGGCACCTTGAAACAGGAAGAGAATGAAGACGCAGATCGCGCTCGTCGGAGATGTCATGGCCGTGCGGTTCGCTCTCGCTCTCTCCTTTTCCCGAGATCCAGTTTCGAGGAGAGCTCTTTTTCTTTATGCTTATGTAAATGCTCCACTGGATGGATGGACTGGAGTCGAAGCAACGTGAGTTATGATTGTTTGTGTACATTGCTCTTCACTCTAAAGATTGCAGTGACCGATCAAGCAAAGTTTGATGGCAGTAGACAAGTAAACTCGTTTGAAAAAACTCCCAAGCTTCTGAAGAACACAATCTTTTTGAGCGTAGTACAGATCTGTCCAGCTGCTGTAAAATTCACCGAAGCAGTAGGACGAGAAGGAAGCATCGACTTGCTCAAGTGCGAGCCGAAAGAAGGAACAAAAGGAAACGCAAGTGAGAAGAACGCTATGCATCCGTAGTCGTGACAGGAGCTCCCAGTATACGAAGATGTCTGTCAGTGCTTCCAACCGCAAGGAAGGAGGCGTCCGGGCCAAACCTGACGCACGTAACTTTGTCTGCAGCACAAAAGCCCATGAGACACGAAATCACAAAAACAAAGGGACTTACTTGATCCCGAGAGATCTGGAAAGGTCTTCACAAGATTCCACTCCTGCTTCACACTTCCCGTTTGGAACACTCTGGATGCAACGAGAAAAACGGTGTAAGACTGAGTTCTACCGAGAGAAATGAATATGGATGGTACTGTCACCTTATATCTGAGCCAGCGAGCGCGAGATAGGAGCCACTGTGATCGAATTGAACTGGCGGAGAGACGAGCACGTAAGAATCTGCAAGGCAACATGGGAAAGCAAAGTACAAACCAGTGCTGGTTGGTGTGCTAGGATCGTATGGAGAAAACGATCGAAAGTTTTTCAACTTGCGCAGATCCCAAACCTTCACGCCATCGCTGGCGGCAGTCTGCACAGGGCGTACGAGTTTAACAACGCACCAAAAACAATAACTCGGAAGCACTCACAGCCAGGAAGTAACCATTTTCAGAGAACGATAGTTCAGTCACGGGCCCAGAGTGTCCTTCAAACTTGGCAACGTTGTTCTGGATAAGGAACAAAGAAAATGTTAAGGCCCGAAACAACAGACTCCAAAAACAGAGCTTGCCTGTGACTTCACGTCCCAAATGCGAACCAACGATTCCGCAGTTCCAGTGCCAAGGATTAAGCCATCAGGATGGAAGGAAGCGGCTGTATATCCATCTTGTACTGCTGCATCGGTAACCTGAAAAACTCGCATGTTAAAACGGTCATGAGGTATTCTAAAATTTTACCTGCGTTGTACAAGTGCCAGAATTGAGGTCGTAGAAGGCCCATGTTTTGTCATCTGATGCTGTTACAAAAAATCTGTTCGTTGGATGGACGGTAATCGCCCGAATCTGATAACGAAGTTCAAGTTTACCGAGAGCTTTCATGAAGAACAAAAGCAAACATACCTCAGCACTGTGTTCCTTAAGCGTCTGTTTACAGCTATATGCCCCTTCCTCACCACCTTGCCAAATTTTTACCGTCTGTAGGAAAGTGACAATAAGAAAAATATGCACGGCTAAAGCAGCTTGTTGTACCTTATCAGCCGAAGCAGTCAAGACGAGATCATCTCGGGCAACAAATTTTACACTCGTCACCTGCACAAAACATCAAGCATGGCTAAATTGCAGCACCAAAATGAGCTGACCTTCTTGCTATGACCAACAAGAGATGCAACGATTTCACCAGAGGAGCGGTCAAAGACAATTGCATTGCCGTCATTTCCGCCTGTTAGAATGACATCCTAGAATCACACCAATGGATTAAAAACAGAAGAAGGACAAGATAAGCAAACCATATACCTTCTGATGATGGATATCTATAGATAATATACCCGGCCTGCTAGTCTTGTGCAAAGGATGGCTTGAAATCACGCTATACTGTTCTAGATTTTCGGCTTTCACCAATGTGGGTGGAATCTGCACATCAAAAGACTAGAATGAGGCACACAAAAAGACGCGACACGCCCAGACCCACCTGCCGCTTCTTTCGCAAACTAGAAAGGTCAGCATTGCACTGCGTAAGTTCTGCTATCATCTCGTCAGAGATCCCCTGCTTGAGCGTTTTAGCGGGTGGCAGTTGCTCCAGCTCTGCCTCTGTTTCCCTCGTAATTAGTGAGAGGAAAACTACAAAAGCAAGAGCTTACCCCGTTTGCCGTTGCTAGTTACTGCATCGGCCTCTGGTAGAGCCGCCGGCCTTTGTAGTTCTGCTTGAGCAAGTAGAGTTCTCGCATCGTCCCTTTCGGTTTTCAGCCTGGCAATCACGCGGCAAGCTGCATCATGCTGCAAACAAACTTGCAGTGAGCTATGAAGTTACTTGTGGCTGCGGAACCTGATAGAGGGCATGGCTGAGCTCCTGACGAGCATTGTTAAGTTGCTGCTCCAAGTGGTAGTTCGACAAGACAACCGCATCCCATTCCTGTAGAAATCACCCAAACGGTAAGGATTTTTCCAAGCTTGAAACTATAACAAACTCACATTCTGAAACATTCCAAGCATTCCAGGAATGCTCGTCGCTGTAACGGGCCTCGGCTTCACGGCCTGCAAATAAAATCTCTAAGACGAGAAGAAAGAAGAAATCCAGACGCGCTCAAAAACCTTGTTAGTCTTCACGGGTAAGAGATCTTCCTCGGTCAAGGACTCTCCAGTGACAGGGCAAGTCCCATTTTCCTGAAGCACAGCCACAATGCATCGATTGGAACAGCCACTAACACAGTAAATCCTTACCGCAAGATGCTTCTCGATCAGCCTCCTCTCGAAAAGAAGCCCAGAGCGCTTGGAAATCACGGGCTCTTCCGGCGTCAATCCAGAGACTGCGAGAAAAACACACAATACGAGCTCGTAACGACGGCTGGAGCTAGAGAAGGAGCATTCACTCACTGGCGCAGAACATCGTGACGAGCCGAGCCGCTCCCGCTCCTTCCAAGCCCTAGAAATATAAACCCTAATAGGTCACTATGGCGCTTTAGTGCTGCTGCTTGGAATTCTAGAGCTAGCTCAGAAACGCTCGCTTGGATTTGGAGCGCCAGAAGAAGAAGGCCAGAAGAAGAAGTAGGAGGGAGGAGGAAGAAGAGAGACAGTAAATTCTCTTTGGAGGGTTTAGGGTTTATGATGGCCGTGATAGCGCTCAGGTCTTCGATGCGAGCAGCGATGCGTTCCCGGCTATCGGCGCCATCGCCGGCTCCATCTCCAGGTTCTCAGGGTCTTTTGCCCCTTGTAAATCGTGCTTGCCTCTCAATCGATCGTTCTAGCGATGATGGCGCGCCAATGCAGCGGGATTGACAAGGTCCTTGTGCCATCCCGAAGGTGTTTGGTGCGATTTCCCTCGCTCTTCTCATGTAGTTCTTTCTCCAGGCTTGGCGAAGTCCTTTTGCATGGAGCCCGTGGAGGAAACGATGAGTAGCAAGGACAAGTTCTTGAGCCCGCCAAGCTCTGCTACTTCAAACAGCGTTGACATAGCTCCAGGAATCTACAAAGTAAGCTCTCTCTCTCTCTCTCTCTCTCTCTCTCTCTCTCTCTGTGGTTGCACTTGCAGATTGAAACTTTCATCTCTCTCTCCGTGCCGTGCTTGTTCTTGGTAGATCGAAACTTTTGTCTCTCCGTGGTAGATCGAAACTTTAGCGTTGCTCTACTTTTCTCTCTGCCGTGCTTGTCCCTGGTAGATCGAAACTTTTGTCTCTCCGTGGTAGATCGAAACTTTAGTATTGCTCTTGCTCGATCGAAACTTTCGTTTAGATCAAACTTACATTTTTTCTTCTCTTGCTAGGCTATTCTGATTGGTAAAGTCGGGCAGCCACCCACTGTGAAAACTCTCAGCAGTGGCGCGGAAGTGGTCACCTTTCCTCTGGGAACTGGAGGCCTGAGGAACCACCGACGAGCGCTCGAGGGAGAGAGCCCCCAAGCTTACGCGCAGCGTAGCTTCGTGCAATGGCACAGGATCTGCGTGTTCAAGCCCACGCTCGTCACCCTTGCCATGCAGATCAAAAAGGGGTGAGGACATTGTCTTTCTTTCTCGTTCTTCACGAGTGTGTTCTCCCAGGATGAACGTCTACGTCGAGGGAAACATCGAGACGCGAGTCTACAAGGACACGGTAAGCGGCACTTTCAAGCGCTTGCGAGAGATTTCCATCCGGCAACACGGTAAGGAGCAAATCGAAAGCAAATCGAATTAGTTTACTCACAGATGACAACGCAGGCCGCCTGTATATGATGGGAACCAAGCCTCTACTCCCGTCTGAAGTCAAAGAATGAGCTAGAACACGCTACCTTTGATTTGCTGTTTTGCTGTTTTCGTTTTGTTCTCCACTCTTGTCCATATCCACAATGAAAGTAATATGTACGAAAGTTTCTCTTCTCGAGATCTTGTCTAGTTCGTTGTAGACATCTTAAATTTGCAAACCGGGCAAGTGGCCTGCTGTCTCAGCCACTGATCGATGCAATGCGGATGAAACTGGAAGAGTCAAAGCGTCAGTGATGGAAATGGCAAGCAAGCCTAGAGTAGAACCTGGTGTAAGCACGGGAGAGTTCTAACAATCTCCCCTTCCATAACTTGCTCCAGGCAGACGCTACAAGTGAGCTCCTCTAGCTTCTCGCCCAACGAAGAAGAAGGAGATCCCTTGTTTGGATCAGAAGATGCCTGTGGCTGATGCTGCTGAGAGCTTCCTTGTTGGCTTCAAACACACAACGTGAACATGTTATGGGAAAGGAAGAAACAGAGAAACAAAGAAGTCACCTCTTTTGTGGTTTGTACTTGTGAACGGGGAGCGAGTTTATCTCTGCCTCGCTCAACGCCGGCACGCCGGGAGGATTATCTGGATCCAGAGCCCGCAAGGCATCGTAATCTGTTGGAACGAACGAGGTGAGAGAAGAGCGGAAGCAAAGTTACAAACCAAGTTCGTCAAACTCCCGATCGAGGAGCGCAAGCTGCAAGCGTAGGCCGTGAAGCCGGCCCCTGGTTGCAAAGGCGATGGGCGGCATCCTCAGACGAAGCTCGGTGTGACCAATCAGCCCGTTTGCCGTCGCTGCCACAGCCGCGGCGTTTGCATGGGCTTGGATTTGCTGGCACATTGCGTACATCCGGATGCTTGTGGTTATGAGAAAAACGGCCATGCCAAACCATAACTGCAGAGAAGAATCGTGATCGTATAGCTTCGCTTCCAAAAGAAAGAATCCATTTTTCTAGCCATACCAGGAAGTTTGGAGACACCGGCTGGGAATTGAGAACCATGAACAGCAAGAACACTGGAGAAAGCCACCGTCAACACGAAAGCTTCAAGTATGGAATCTCTTACTTGTGATGAAAATAATGACAGGATTCGTGTTGAGCGGCCTTCCCCCGCCATGGAACCTCTGGAGCAGGCAAAACAATTTAGTGTAACTGTAACTTTGGGAGAATTGGCGCTTACCACCGCTCGCCGCTCGGGTATGAAATCGTGGAACCCGCTCTCGATGTCGGCTCTCGTCCCCCGGAAGACGAAGCTCATCGTCGCAGCTGGGAAGAAAATGGAGACCTAAAAAACCTAAAAACCCTCTCCCTTGAGGATCGAACACGCAACCTTCGCGGAGCTTTACCGTGTCAAAGTTAGGCGATCCTGGATGCTGAAGAACATTAAAAGAAGAGAAAGTGATGGCTCCACGAAAAGAAAAAATCAAGAGAAACAAAACAGGAGAATGGGGCTTACGAGCATGCAAACAAGCACGCAACGCCGTAGTCGAGCTGGGAGTTTTCAGAGCTCCCCCGCAAGATACGCTTCCAAATCTTTGAAAATAAAGGAAGCGATTGTCAGTCGCAGTCGAGTTAGCATGAACGAATACAATGTTTCAATCAGTCAGGTAAGGCACTGGATTGGAACGCAAATTCAAGCAACTTGCAGGGAGCGATCAACACGACTTTGCCATCCTCAGCTCACCTTGTGTACTGACTTACCTCCTCTTTCTCTCTCCCCAATCTCTTTCTCTTTTTCAACACCTTCGCAGTCTTGGCGGTGCTGCGAGCTATCCATTTCCACAGGATAAGTTAAAGGCGGTCGCACTTCAGCCTGTTTGAAAAGAGAAAGAGATAGTGTGAGAGAGGAAGATTAGCCAGTAAACGCAGCTTCTTGCCTGAACAGACGACTTACTATAACTCGCCATATGTCCGGTACTCCTACGTGCATCCTCGTCGTCGCATCCTTGCCTCAAGCCACTAGCAACTTTGATAGACACGCTCGAAGTAACAGCAGCAAACTAACCGCGTGGGCGAGATGCCGATGGACCTTACAGCACCACCATGCTTAGCAATCACGATAGAATTAAACGGAGCTTTCCTGTACCTGGATGGGAACAGGAACCAGCTGAGCCGAGAGTCAAGCCGCGCTCTTAACACGGTCAAGGAAGTACTTCGCTGGAGAGATCCATATCCATATCGTATAACTTGGTGACAAGTACATATCCGACGTTCACAGCTCTCTCGTTCATATTCCTTGCTTGCTGCCACAGAGTCTCAAAAACGTAAGAAAGTTTCAAAGGAGCTAAAGTGTAGATAAGAGTACCTTTTCACTAAGCTCCCAAAATTTTCGAGCAAAGCTCATTCAATGCGAATCTCAAACGAACCAGAGCTCGGGTTCGCTCCACCATTTGAATCCGGACGAACCTCGCCTTAGCTGCGACGTCCACCATCTGTCCGGACAGCTCAACTGCGTAAAGAAGTAGTAACACTCGCCTCGGCTGGCACAACAAGGACACCCTCCGGGAATGTCAAATGATTGAAAGTTAAGTGGAACCAATTCCCAAAGCACAAGGCAAGGCATTCTCGCAAATATGCGGCTGCTGCTGCCAGAAGGCCTATACTAAAATACTCGTTAGATCTACTGCCACTCCAGCTTAGAGTCATCTAACTTAGTCTTTTTATACACTAGAAAATAAACCGAAAGTATGGTTTATAGCAGAAAATAAAGCCAAACACAAACCGACAACACACAAGACAAGACAACGCATGACAAAACGAACACGAAGCTCAACGAAGAACATGGAAAAATACCTCGGCTTGAAAAGTCTCTCCGAAGCCTTTTATAAACTCATCGTTTCGGCCACGAGAACGTAGCCTCTACTTACAATTCCCGCTTTAGAACCTGCTGGATCTGTAACAGCAGGCCTCTCATCAGTACTATGAAATCCCCAGGACCTGTTAAACTGGAGCTGGAAGCAGCTATACATATATGTATAACCCATGTAAAAAACTGTGGCCCGATCGTAAGTGATACCGAACATTTCCCCCCTCTCATCCTAGACACCGGAAGAACACGACACCGCAGACTGGACTCTCAAAGGATACTGGAAGGAATTCGCGTAGTGGAAAAAGATACTCTCACCTCCACTGATGGCTTTACCATCGTTAACGATGCAGTCGTTGTAGCCGACCCTCTTGAAGATCTTGGGATTGACGAGCTTGGCGGACGCGAACCAGCCGCAAGCAATGTGGATGTTGGACAAGGGGCAGCCCACCACGCAGAGATTGATGATCTGGACGCTGTAAGTTGGGATGCCATTGGGGAGCGGACTGGAGCGGCCTTGAAAGACACTGATGTCCGACTTGGTACACTCGTCTGAGATGCGATCTAGAGAAGGAAAGTTATTGCTGAGTGTTTTTGCCAAAGTGTGAAAGCTGAGTAGAGAACGCTTGCTTACTAGTGCCGAGATTTCTTCGTTTCCTGCTATAGAGCTGGCTTGCGAGGAGGCGTCGGCTCCAACTCACAGACTCCGCGACTGTTGAGTTCCTTAGAGATATTTCCAGCAATTCTACACAATAGAAGTTTGATCGATTGAAATGGCACCGACAAGGAAAAAAATATCCATACCTGGTGGAGATTCGTCAGCGCTGGATAGCTGAATGATCAGGAGAAACACAAGAACGGCTTGGATCCAAACGAGACGCGGCATCGATCGATCTATCACTAGATATTTCACGGATTCCAGCATGCAATAGCTCTTGCCTGGCCGCCCGCATTCACAGCATTTCCCACGGTGCAAGAGCTGAATCAAGCTCCCTCCTGGAATCAAGAACGGCCATTCTTTTCTCTCCCCTGCCAATGCTCGCCGGAGAAAGGAATGCCGGAGGGAGACGCGATCGAAAGCGCTCGGACCTCCGGATCACCGGAGAATGCAGGCCGATCGCGCGCCGGCGTGGATCGATCGCCAATCCAGTGATAGGGCAACAGCGCTATCAAAATCACTGCGCACGCTCCAGACTCAGACGCTTTCTCCAATCATTCCCCCACCACACATGCTTCTACTGCTTGTGGAAATGAGCTAGGGTTCTTGAGCACACGAGGGCGCCAGACAACATAAAAACACTTTCTCATCAGCTGTGGAGCCTTCTTGTCCGTCGATGGCCCACGAATCCATCGGCCAGACTCGCAGGCCACCTTGGCAGCCCCCCAGCCGCTGATTTTCTCGTTACCAACGGCCCGGATGAATTGAAAAGGCCAAAGCTCGTGCGGAGGGGAAAGTGACGCCAACTCGGTAACTACGGCCGGCGGCGAAGATTCTGCGGAGCTCATTTACAGTTAGTAACTACTGCCGGCGTGGTAAAAAAGTGGACGGTTAATTGCCTAGTGGATGTAGGGATATACCCCGCATCGGGCTGTCCTTCGATCAATGCAACACCGAGCGTAGCTAGCTCGTCAAATTTACTACGCTTCCATTTACTAGACCCCTTACTATAGCTTGCTCCTTCTTCCCCGCCAATTTTAAAACATAAGCGGCATATTCGTGCGGGTTTGCAAGAATATCCTCCCAGTACTTTGCTCAGATTCTCCTTCCCGGGCCTTGGGAGAAAGCATCACTCCACATTCCACCTTGGTCGCGCTCGTCCCATCTTTTAGCCTCTGCGAACGCGTCCTTGAATGGGATCGTGCAATCCACCGAGCCAGCCTCGTATTGGCGCTTCATCTTCTTCATGCCGGCGAGGTGATGGCGCAGTGCCTCCTCGTGGGCCTTTTGGAGCGCGGTTTTCTTCACGGGAGGACCCCTCCGCCCTTCTTGGAACGCTTTGATCCTCTCCTCGCTCAGGCATTGATCGCGCAGCCTCTCCTGGAGCGTCAATTCGGCCTGTTGCGACATCAAGATCGATCAAAAACTCGTGTCAAAGATGGAAATTGAGAGCTCACTTCGACAATTTCGCGAGCCAGCCGCTTGTGCCATGGATTCCTCTTCAATCCGAATGCCTTCATCACTTCCATCTGCCGGGAAGCAAAGAGAGACGCGGGGTGATCGCTAGAAGTAACGCTGGGAGGAAGAGAGTGATCGTCACAGCTAGCAAGGAAGAGAAGTCACTTACTCGAGAGCTATAAATTCCGACTCTGGATGCCGCGTGAGGAACGATTCTATAAACGCATCCTCTGGCTGCCGCTCCTTCTTCGTCTTCTTGGTCACCAGAGGCTCTTCTTGCATTCTGGATAAATCCAATCAATCCAGGATCAAAATGCCGGTCGATCATTCGATTTGATTTCTAACCTGCGCGCGGCCTTCATCCAGACCTGCTCGGGGATCCATCCCGCCTCCACGGCCTGCAGCGCCTTGGCCAGCATTTTCCCCTTCATGAACGTCGCCTTGCCCATCTCGCTCGTAAAACCCTACGCGAAGAACCCTAAAAATGCCCACTGCCCTAACTACCGGGCTTTGTTGCCCATTTGGTGCCTTTTAATTTTCTTGTGTGTGCGTTTTTTTCTCTTTGGGGGCTTATGTAGGGCGCGGCGGGCCGTCCTCGATCGCCTGGGATCGATCACCATGGATCAGATGAAGAAGAAGCTGATGCCGCTCATCAACATGCGGCCAGACATGTCGATTGATGCCTCGGCGTCCTACAAGGTGAGTGTCGATCAAGAGAATTGGAAATTTCGCCCCCCTGGATCGAATGCCCGGGGTTTCCAGAGCGGGCGCTCTGGAAATCTCTAGGGTTTCGTCTCTGTGTGATCGATCTTGGGAATTCCCTTGGTTGTCGGTGCTAATTCAGCTTGCTGGCGGCACAGGTCACGGATGGAGGGACCTTGAATCTTCTGAGCAGATCTTGTGGCGAGTATAATATCAATCAGCTGGGCCTCCAGAAGAAGAGCTCTGCCGGTGGAGACGACAAAGACGACAAGGAGAGAACTTATCAATGCGCGTCCAATGAAATGTGCGTTTTTGGAGCAATTGGATGGGGAGCTAGCAGCGTCGTTCGCAAGGCTATTCATATTCCAACGCATCGGATTCTCGCCCTCAAGAAGATCAACGTCTTTGAGAAGGTTTGCTTTCCAAGTTCCTTTTTCTTCTTCGAGATGGTGATGATCTTTTTTTCTTTGGCTTCTCTCTTTGCGTTTGATTCAGGAAAAACGTCAACAGTTGCTAAACGAGATTCGGACACTGTGCGAAGCGCCCATGGCGAAAGGCCTTGTAGAGTTTTACGGGGCGTTTTATTCGCCTGATAGCGGACAGATTAGCATAGCGTTGGAGTACATGGATGGCGGATCACTTGCGGATATCGTGCGAAACAAGAAGTTCATTCCTGAGCCGATTCTGTCGGTCATCACACGAAAAGTTTTACAGGTAAAGTCTCACCTTTACGGTAAGGTTCGCTTTTTCGCGTGCTCGCAATCAGTCACGAAAGTTGTGTGTTATTTTCCAGGGCTTGCAGTTTCTTCACGGAGTAAGACATCTAGTTCACCGAGACATTAAACCTGCAAACCTTCTAATCAATCTGATAGGTGAGCCGAAAATCACAGATTTTGGGATCAGTGCTGGCCTTGACAACTCCATTGCCATGGTATGCGTTCGCATCTTAGTGACCAAGCTCAAGCCTGCTTAATTTTCACTTTGCTTGGCAGTGTGCCACGTTTGTCGGCACGGTGACTTACATGTCTCCAGAGAGAATCAACAACGAGTGCTACTCGTACCCGGCGGATATCTGGAGTCTGGGACTTGCGTTGCTGGAGTGTGGTACTGGAGAGTTCCCTTACAACGCAAGCAAGGGCCCTGTGAATCTGATGCTTCAAGTAAGGTTTTTATCCTTGTACCCGTCACTATTCTCCTGTATGTTCTGATTCGTGTAAGTTGCTTACAGGTAATGTATGATCCGTCTCCAGCCCCGCCTGCGGACAGATTCTCCTGCGAGTTTCGGTCGTTTGTGGAAGCATGCCTACGAAAAGATGCCGATACAAGGCCAACAGCAGAACAGGTTAGAATTTATTTCGGTTCCCAGAGGTCCCCAGTTTTACATGTTCGTTTCTGCTGCAGCTTTTACAACACCCATTTATTAAGAAGTACGAGAACGCAGATGTTGACTTGGCTGGTTTTGTGCACAGTGTCTTCGATCCAACTGAGCGGTTGAAAGACCTGTCTGATGTAAGATGTTTTATTTTCTCTCTCACTTCACTTTCGCAACTCGGTACTGATCATTGAGACGCTGCAGATGCTTACGGTCCATTACTACATGCTGTTTGACGGTCCTGACTCGCTATGGCATCACATGAAGACTTTCTACCGCCAAAACTCGACTTTCTCGTGAGTTTGCTTTTCTCATCTGCCAGTCTCCTTTAATTCCCTCCTCACGCAGGTTCGCGAACCAAACCGTCTGCGGTTTGGACCAAGTGTTCACGACACTGACGGACATCCGCAACATGCTGGCCGGGGAGCGAGCCGAGGAGAGGCTCGTCCACGTCGTGGAGAACTTGCAGTGCTGCGCGTACTCCAAGCGGGGCATTGTGATCCGGGTGTCCGGGGCCTTCGTGCTGGGGAGCCACTTCATTCCGACCAGCGACGGCATCCAAGTGGAAGGACTCCTGGCCAGTCCGTCCTTGGACGTCCAGAGGCGCCAGATGGGAACGTTTAGCGAGCAGTTTGTGATGGAGCCGGCCGAGCAGCAAGGCTCCTTTTTCATCTCCAAGCAGGAGCTCTACATCCAGCAATAGTGAAGAAACTATGGCTGCTACTACAAGCGCTACACAGGCGGGACAGGAAAACAAGCGCGATCAAATGAGCTCCAATTCAATCAGCCACAGGGCATCTCACAGATTTGGGAAGAAGTTCTTAGCGAGAAGCCACAGAGACGACGGTGACGAAGAGGTTTCTTTCAAGTTATGGCAACGCGATAGGAAGGAAATAATGCCGAGTTTTTTTTTTCTGTAAACTATGTTGTAAAGTATGGTGGAATTTGTTTATATCTTAAACTTTGGATTCTACTTAATATAAACTAAAGTAGTTGTTAGGGTTTTTGGTTTTGTTGGTAGCTAGGGCTGATTGAGAGCGCGCTACGCTTGGGAATGAAGGAGCCCGTGGCTGTAAGGCAGATTTCTTCTCTCTCGCGTGATGACCGTGTGTGCGATCTCCATCAGGTGGCAAGAGCAGCGATTCCCGAGCGGCAGTCATCGAAGTCGCCGTCGTCGCATCCTCCTCCCGCTTCATTCTCGGGCGCGCACGATGAATCCGCTGGCGCTCCCTCGCGGCATCTCTGGGTGGGGAACGTTGCCGTGGAGACGCCGGAGTCCGTGGTGCGCGACATGTTTGGGAAATTTGGAGAGCTGGACAGCGTCACGGTCTATCCCCAGCGGCAATACGCGTTTGTGAATTTTCGGAAGCAAGAGGACGCCGAGCGCGCCAAGGAGGGGCTGCACGGAGCACACATCGCGGGGCAGCCTTTGCGAATAGAATTCGCCAAAGGGGTGGGTTTCTCTTTTCCAGGCAGGGATTTCTCTCGATTTCTCTCTAGACTGTTCTTTACAGGGGTGATTTTTCCTAGGCTGGTATTTCTTTTTCTTTTTTGTGTGTGTGTGTGTGTTTGAGCTTGGTGCTGCTGTGTGTGTGTTTGAGCTTGGTGCTGTGGATGATACTAAAGCTTGTGTGTTTTCTCATCTCCAGGCGAGGCCTAACAGGCATTTGGCTGTGGCTGGGATAGCTCTAAGCGTGACCAAGGAGATGCTAGAGGCGGAGTTCCAAAAGTATGGAGCCATCGAGGAGTTCAAGCTGATGAAAGATAAGAGCTCTCTCATGGTGGACTACTTTAAAACTGATGATGCCATTGCTGCCGTGGAAGCGCTCAACGGGAAACGCTTCGGTGACGACGTCCTGCGCGTAGATTATCGCTCTCTTGCTTCGAAACGGGTACTTTGATCTTGTTGTCGCGCTTCTCCGCCTTGGCTACATCTGACGGTTCCTTTCATGCAGGGTCCTGCCTCGGGACCGTCAGCTCCCAGCTCCGCTCCGCGAGGTGGCGGCGGCAACAAGGACGATACTCCCAGCGAGGTTTTGTGGATCGGCCTCCCAGCCAACGCCAAGTTCGACGAGGAGACGCTCCACAGGTTGTTTCTTCCCTACGGCGAGGTCGACCGGGTAAAACTGTTCGCGTCGCGAAGTTACTGCTTTGTAGAGTTTCGCTCAGTCAAAGAGGCGGCTCTGGCCAAGAACGCTCTTTCAGGGAAACCGATCAATGGACACCGGCTCCACATAGAGTTTTCCACCAGTGAAGTAGGCCCCGTGGATGGGAAAGACGGTGCCTCGGAGCCGAACGAGGCCATCGCCAAGAAGTCGAGAGTGTCGCCTGCCGAGCAGAGTGGACCCCGTCTTGGCTCGCCGTTTCTTCCCGTCCAAGGCCCGGACAGCTGGGGATGGCACGGAGTCATCGCAAAAGGTGGCACTGTTGTCTGCCAAGCTCGTGGATTTCTAGCCAGCGGCAAAGTCGAGACACTCCTGATGTAAGTTCTCTGGTTTCCTCTTTTCCTTTCTCCTTGCTCATGAAAGCTGGTTTTGCTTTGCTTGCAGACCCGAGGTCGTAAACTGCACGTCTCGCACGGACTTGGACAGGCTCGCGGACCACATCTATCCCACCGCCGAGTTTCCAGTCGTCTTGTTCATGCCGGCGCGGGACGTGGACCTGATGGCTTATCACGACTTCCTGCGCTACCTCCGAGAGAACCACCGGGCGGGAGTCGTCAAGCTGGGCGACGCCACGAACCTTTTCCTCGTGCCGCCGTCGCCCTTCGCGGAGAAGGTCCTCAAGGTGACGCGGAGCGACTGCATCATCGGGATGGTGTTGAACTTCCGGAGCCAGTACCACCATCACGTCCAACTCCAGCAGCAGCAGCAGCAGCAGCACCATCACCACCAACAAAAGCAGGATCACTTCCAAACTTCCCAGCCGCCGCCACCGGCAAACTTGCCTCCGGAGCTCCTGGCATGGTCGATGTTTCCCCCGGCGACTAGCACCGCTCCCAGTGCCATGGCCGCTCCTCTGAGCGTGACTGGCGCTGCTGCCCCGGCTCCTGTGGCTGCTCCTCCTGGATTCTCCTGGCCTGGACCGGGAGATCAGCAGCAGCAGCAGAACGTGGTCGTGTCACAGCAGCAGCCAAATGCTGTCGTTGCCCCTCAGCTTCCAATCGAGCAGCTTGCGCAGCTGACTTCGTTGCTCCAGCAAACATCGTCGCAGCAAGCGCAAGCGCAACCGCAGGCACCGCAACCGGCGTGGGCGCCAAGTGCCGCGATTGCGCAGTTCCACCAGGGAGACCCCGAGCAGTTCCAGAGGACCCTGGCTCTCGCGGCGCAGATGCTCGAGGCCCGGAAAAAGCAGTGAAAAGCGTAGGCAGCGGCTGTGTACAGTTAGAAAGCAATTGGAGTACAGAAGAGATTCTTGTAAAACGAGCTTTTCCAGTGAATTCCTTTTTACTTACTTTTTTTCCGTTAAACGTTGAAGCTGAGTTACGTGATTCAAAGTGTTTTGTGCTGAGTTTTTGATATATGTCATCTTTAATGGAAAGGTTAATGAGATCTTCAAGCGTTTCAATATAACAGGAGATGTTAAGACCACAGTGCTTCATGTCATGGAGAGGACTAGCAAGGATTACAAGGATTCTGTTATCATGGTTCTGGTGTGGGATGAGGCTCGACTGCCAAAAGTTGCTGGTCCAGATCATAACAAAGCAGAAATAGTGGCAACAATATTTGATGCTCGTGGCTGCGCAGCCTTGCCTGCTTGTGGGGATCAGGCTTTTCGTTTTGGAGAGCTGGATGATGATGTATTTTGTGCCAAGGTATCATTTAAATTATAAAATATATATAACCTTGAAAATGTCTTTCTTGATAGGAAATTTTAGCTACTTTTCATTCATTCCAGATGTTTTATTAAGGTGACGAGTTCAGGTATTTTTAATTGAGTTCTCACGCACTGACCAAACCAAAAAAACTCTGTTTATAAATAAACTTGATTATAAACAAGTAATGCAGGACAGATTTCGTAAAACACGGAGCTCTCCAGTCAGGATGTTTCTCAATATTGATTTCCTTGATAGAGGGATTTCACGATCGTCGTCGAGATCCTGCCCACCAATGGGTCAAGGGAGATGTAATAGAAACAAAGCGATCAAACCTTTAGAGCTTTAGAGTGTTGATCAACTTGCTGCTTAATCTGTGTGCGCACAAAAGAAACGGCCTCGGATTCCTTGCGCTCGTCACGCCTTGGTGAAAGCGCATAGAAAACGTCGTGTGTAAGCGATTCCTCGGACATCTCTTGCAAGTCTGAAATCCAGAGTTTTAGTTTCAGACAAAAGAGATTGACGTGTCATGAACCTTCGTAAGATTCCGCACATATAAGCCGAGCAAAAGCACGGAGCGGAGCCACCGCCATAGAGCCGCGCTCAGCTAGATCACTATCCCTGTTAAAAACATAAGAAAAGTAAGAAGGAACATTTCTTACTCATCACCTGAAAGTGAAACGCTTTCTTCCACTCGGAGAACCATCGTCATTCAAGTCTGTGCTCATATTATGTCGCGATAGAGTCTGAAGTTTCAAATCTCGGAGTGGATCTGTTAGTGAAACACCCATTGGTACCTCCACCTACAAATGAAAAAGAGAAGAAAAAACCAATGTCAAAGAACAAGCTTGAACAAGAGAACCTGTTCGTGGGGATTGGATGCCACAGCAAAGCCGTAATCAACAGCAAGGATGGAGTTTGGAGTGGAACCATAGCTGAGAAATATCTGCCAGCAAATTAGACAATGTAAAAGAAAGAAGCAATAAACTTTACTTCATCACCAGCTTTGTAGTCTTGATCTGCTACTGCCTGCCGATGGAACGAAAAAGAAGAATAAAAAGAGAGAAAGACCTTAGCTAGCAAACAATGCGCTTGCAGATAAGCTTACCACCGCACAATCCTTTTCCTTGTCGTAGGAGAGCCGTGTTTGACAATTATGATCGTGGTTGAAAAAATCCGCGAATGGAATCTGGTCTACCAGGTTGAGCCAAAGCAATTGCCGTTACTGCCTACCATTGACATTGTCAACTCTCCTTCTCGGCTTTCCCAGGAACGTGAAGAAACTACATTGCTGCCATCAATTCCTTTGGCATTGAATTCTCATTTTTCTCCATACCAGTTGAGTAAGCGTGCATGAAGTCTGTGAGCGAGACCTCGCCAAGCGCATCACGACACCATGGGAATACCTGTTTATTGGCCAGTGTCAGTAGCTGCCGAGAAATAAAAAGAAGCAACGACTTTTGCTTCAAGGACGTGAAATTCAGACTTGATGATTTTCAAGCACTCCATCGTCTCGCGATAAGTTGGACTGTGCTTGAGCCAGGCTAGCTCCTCAGCCTTCCAAAACATCTACTCACACGTAAGCAAAATAATTCACAAGGTATAAAGCTGGAGTGGAAGAATCTACCTTACCGTGCTTTCGATATCACCAAGTTGAGGCAAGCATCGAAGATAAGGAGCCCACTGCGATTCCTGATTGGACAGAACCAATGCTATTCATGATAAAAAGCAAGAGAAGGTACCTGAGCTTTGTGTTTTTCGGATAGAAGGAAAAGAGACAGCCGAGTCTTTGGGTTGCTTGTGCTCAGAAGGTGGCTCACTTGCGAAGGTACGTTCTCTGGAGTGATAATCTACAGTGACATCTACAAGCTTGTTACAAAGAAGAGAGAAGAAAAAAAAAAAAGAGGCCAAGATACTCACGGCAATGCGGGGTATTTCGAGAAAACGTGATCCAGCAGGAACTCTACGAGTGGCAAACAATGCCCTTGGTATCCAAAGAACGATCTTAGAAAGAAAGAAAAAAATTTATCAGTGCTAACCTTCCATACTGTGACATTCCAATTGTCACCGCGGTGTTCTTGCCTAATCCACCTCGCTTATTGAGCCACGCCAGGAAATCCTTCCATTCCGGGCACTGGAGATCTAATCTGTTGAGAAATCACAAATGCCGCTGGCATACCTGACGATCGCCTGGAGAAAAAGACGCTGTGAAGGAGCGAGCGCCAGTGATCCGCCTGGAAGAAGCTCGCATTCCCCACATAGGGTTTAGGGTTTATGATGCGAGCAGTGGCAAGGCTATGGTGTGGGCAATGCGGCAAGGGATTAGGGTTTGTCCGGCTCGCAGCCACCGCGGCGAGCTCGCAAAGCTCGGGTAATGTCGATTGCTCCACGAAATCTCCCCTCAAGAAGAAGGCGCCCGTGGCTACGAGGACGAAGAAGCCGAGCAAGAAGGTCATAGCCGAGATTTCCAGGAAGAACTGGCTGGATTCCCTGACATTACCGCTTGGTGGCGAGGGGGATGTCGATGCCGAGTGTGACGCAGAGGTTTTGGCGATCTCGGCGTCATCGGCCCCCAGCGCGGCAGTGGATAATGCGTTTGTGATTGGCATCGACCCGGATTTCAAAGGCGCATTGGCTGTTCTACGCTTGGAAGATGATCGATTCATACCCGAGGTATGATCCTTTCCTTGTTCCTTCCTTGTAATGGCTACTGGCGCAGTGAAGGTGTTTGATGTTCCAACGCTCAAAGTCGCCATTGGAGGAACTATGCGGCTTCGTCCAGACGCCAAAGCCATTGTCAACCTCTTGAAGACGATCAACGCTCCTCACGGTAGAAACGATGGGCTTTTCGTGAAAGTTTCTCACGAACTATTGCGTTGGGTGTTCTAGGCTCGGTGGCTTACGTCGAGAATTCGTTGCCACATAGCACGGATGGAAAACAGGTAAGAAGATCGCACCACTTGTTCTTTTGTTCTATGCTCACGAAAGCTCTTCCAGTCATGGTGGAGTTCCGGCTTTGGCTTTGGAATGTGGACCGGTACTTTACTTGCGTCTGGCATCTCTGTGGTGCCCGTGTCTCCCAGAGCCTGGAAAACTGCCATGGGCCTCTCCTCCAGCAAGGTACTCTAGAGCTTTTGTTTTGTGGAAGAAGGATCTCTCTTCCCATTTCCGACTTGGAAAAACTTTTGCCACACGCCAGGACGAGAGCCGCCTAGTTGCGTCGAGCTGTTTCCCATCCATCGCCTCACAACTCACGAGGAAAAAAGACCATGGTTTGTTCCCGCGAAAGTACGGCTTGGCTTACAGTTTTTGACTCGTGCACAGGCCGAGCCGAGGCGCTTTTGCTTGCAGCGTTTGGAAGGGGCCTGACACCGCAATCCGAGTGGGGGCAAACAGTGGCAAAGTCAGTCTAGAACACTCGCAACAGGACACACGACTCGCACACGCACGCAAACACTGGTAAAAGAGATAGAAAACTATTTCTCCTTGGTTCTATTCAACGTTTGAGTTTGACAAAGCCTCCTTCCAGGTTGGTTTGACAAAGACGCCTGTTCCGGAAAACAAATGCCTCGCACAGCTCCTCCGGGGCCAGCCAAGAAAAGTATAAACTAAAACGCTTCTCGCACTGGTCACCACTATTGTACTTTCAGGTGACGCATTCGCCATCGCCATAGCAGTGGATCGAAGAGCATCGCTGGCTGGATTCCTGCTTTGATCCCCGGCGATTGAGAAGCAAATCGCGACGAGAGAGAACTGGGGACCGAGACAACGAACTTGTTCGAAGCTTCCAGTCCCGGCAAGCAAGTGTCTCTTACTTATCTCTCACTCATCGCTTTCATTGTTTAAGCGCTTCCAGACAAAGGCGACGACCACGACCATGACTAGCTATTCCATCGATTGGTCCATCGCCCCGCCGCTCTCGAGATTTTTTGGAGCTAGATTGGACTGGTGACTGATCGATCTTAAAAAGTAAAACCCATAACCACGATTCCATGGTCTTGGTTTAAATTTCAGCCGTTGGATCGCGTCCAAATGGGGCTACAATGGCCGTTGGATGTGGAGCGGCGATGGATTGAATGGTGGGTGTAGTGGAGAATTAGGGCAGCCGCGAAGGATCAAGGCAGCGCAATTGGCGACAATGCGGCCAGGGATTCCGTGGTAATGATTCGCTTTTGGACAACAAAGTGGTGTATGACCAGATCGATTGTCTCCGCTCCCTCCTCTTTATGCTAGTGGAGTCTGAATTTTTGGAGCGTCCACTCAATCCATTCCTTCTCTCCTTCTTCCTCTTTGTCTCCTCTTTTACTTTCCTCTCGATCGATGATCCATTCGCTTCCGTGTGAGAGAGAGAGGATGATCCTTCTTCCACCAGCGATCTAGGGCCCGGATCGCACGGGTCGTCGCCGTGAAGGGCTAGTGACGGGCAGCGTGACGGGCACCGACGACTTGCGCTCTTCCACCTCTCTCTCTCTCTCTCTCTCTCTCTCTCTCTTCCTCTCTTTTATAATTCTCATTCTTCCAGAGTAACTATTCCTGCGAGGCCAGCGGTCGACGGAACAGGCGCCGCGAAAGCGTGTTGATATTGCGAGTGAGCTCCTAGATCATGCGCTTCTTCTCTTCCCGGTTGGCCAGAGCTTGCTTGCGGTAAGCATTCCAGTAGGTGATCTCTCTTCTCTTCTCTGAGATGGGTATTTCGTTCTAAGGCCAGTGATCCAGCGATTCCTTTGATGATGCTAAGAAGAAGAAGTAGCGGCCATGTCTCTCTCCAATTTGCTGCTGGGTTTGTTTCTACTCGTCTTTCTCGCAACATCTCGGTCGCAGTGCCCCACGAATCCATCCGGGATCGCCAACGACACACAGACTCTGCTCTCTCTCGGTGACAGGCTTGGCATCAAAGCGTGGAACGAGACCGCCAATCCAAGAGCATGGCGCGGTGTGGAGTGGAGCTCGGACAACCGAGTGGAGGGCCTCAATATGTCCAGGTTACATCTCTCGGGAGTTCTTCCTTCCATCTGGGCCGAGCTTCCATCGCTGGCTCGCTTGGACCTCTCGCAAAACAACATCGTCTCGCTGGAGGTGGCTGGTTGCAAGAACACGCAGCTCAAGCTCCTCAACTTGAGCTCCAATTCTCTGCGAGAGGTCCCGGCAAACCTCTCCAGCCTCGAGAGCTTGGAAAGCCTGGACCTCAGTGGGAACTTCTTGAGAGTGGCTGGAGTTCCAAAGTTTAGCTCCACGCTGCGATCGCTCAACCTGTCCATCAACAACTTGACTGGGAGCGTTTCCATCGGTGGTAACCTGGGACTGGAGGCACTGGAGCTCTCGCACAACGGATTCAGCGGCTCCATTCCAGAGACTTTCGGGGAGATGACGAACTTGACGCGCCTGGACATATCGTATAACAGGTTTACCGGAGATCTACCCGATATCTGGAGCAAGAACTTGGAGCTCAGGTACTTGGATATCTCCAACAATTCGCTCAAGGGTGGTTTGCCACCGAGCTTGCGAAGGCTACGCAAGCTCTCGGTTTTAAGCGCTGGAAACAACTTTCTCTCCGGGCCACTGGAGCTGGAAGATGGCGACTTTGCAAGCATCGAGACTTTGCACCTCTTGCGAAACATGTTTAACGGGACGGTACCAGCGAGGGTGGGAAGCTTGACGAACTTGAGGCTGCTGGTTCTCACGCGGAATCGTTTCAGTGGCGCTATACCTCCGGAGCTAGGAAACTGCTCGAACATCAGAGAGATATGGCTCAACGGCAATGACTTGACTGGAACCATCCCAGGCGAGCTCTCGAAGCTGTCGCATCTCCAGCAGCTAGTTCTCAATGGCAACGACATCGGTGGAGAGCTCCCTTCTGGACTCTCCAACTGCACGGAGCTGCTCGTTCTCTGGCTGGAGCAGAACAAGTTTTCTGGAAATCTCCCGGACAGCTTCGCGAACTTGAGCCGCCTGCTCATTCTCTCGCTCTCCGGCAATGATCTCGTCGGTTCCATCCCGGCCTCGTACGGCAAGATGAGCTCGCTGATCGGCCTCGACGTTGGATCGAACAGCCTCTCTGGAGAAGTCCCGGCCATGCTGCAAAACGTCTCGACTTTGCAGTTCCTCTTCCTCTCAAACAACAGCTTCAGCGGCTCCATCCCGGACTGGCTTCCCCGACTCAGGAACTTACGAGCCATGGACTTCTCGCTTAACAGGTTCTCAGGCGAGATACCGGCAAGCATCGGCCGACTGTTCGCCAACGTCCAGCTCTACAACATGACCAACACCACCCCGCTGGTTCACGCGCAAAGCCTCGTCTACAACGGCTTCGCCTTCCCGACGACCATAGACTTCTCCTCCAACCAGCTGAGTGGAAGCATTCCAGCGACCATCGGCGACCTCCACAACCTCCAGGTGCTGGACTTGAGCCACAACCAGCTAACCGGTCCCATTCCCGACTCCCTGGGAAACGCGAAGAACCTCTCCAGGGTGGCGCTCGCGAACAATCGTCTCAATGGCTCCATACCATCGTCCATGGCGGACCTCTCGTTTCTCACCGTCTTCGACGTCTCCAACAACAACCTGGTGGGCCAGATACCTTACAGCCCGCAACTCTCGTCCATGGACGCGGCTCTCTTCGCTGGAAACCATCTCTGTGGCGCGCCTGTGTCAAACTGCTCGAGCAGTGCTGCGCCGCCGGGTGGAATCCAGTCCAGAGGTGGCGAGCCAGAATCTCAAGAGGCGACGAGGAGAGGGACGCTCATACCGATCGTCATCGCCATCTTTGCGGCGGCCTTCTTCTGCGTCTTCCTGGCCATGTACTTCGCGCTCGCTCGTCGGCGGCACAAGCTCTATTCCAACACCGACCGGGACAACGCCGGCTTCTCCCTCGCCTTCTGCGAGAAGCTCCCCGAACAGATCTCCGCGCGCAAGCTGGCGGCCGCCACGGACAACTTCAGCTGGGACAACGTCGTCGGGGACGGCGGCTTCGGCGTCGTGTACCGCGCGGTGCTGGAAAACGGCCAGGTGGTGGCCGTGAAGAAGCTCTCGTCGTGCGGCCTCCAGGGGGACCGCGAGTTCCGCGCCGAGCTCCAGACGCTGGGCGAGCTCAAGCACAAGAACCTGGTGCCGCTGCTGGGCTACTGCTCCGACAACAACGATCGCCTCCTCATCTACAAGTACCTCAAGAACGGCAGCGTCGACACTTGGCTCCACTGCCGCGAGCCCGGGATGAAGCCGCTCGACTGGCCGACGAGGCTGAGGATCGCCCGCGGCGCGGCGCAGGGGATCGCGTACTTGCATCAAGGTTGCGAGCAGCGGCACGCGATCATCCACCGGGATATCAAAGTGAGCAACATACTCCTGGACGAAGAGTTTGAGGCTCACGTCGCGGACTTCGGGCTGGCGAGGCTGGTGAACGCTGGAGATACGCATGTAAGCACGGACGTGGCGGGAACCATCGGCTACATCCCACCGGAGTACAGCCACAAGTGCTTCGCGACGCCCAAGGGGGACGTGTACAGCTTTGGGGTGGTGTGCCTGGAGATGCTCACGGCGAAGAGGCCGACGGACCAATTCTTCCGGAAGAACACCGGGCTGGTGGCGTGGGTCTTGGAGTTGAGGAGTGGGGAGGAGCGGAGGATGGCGCTGGACGAGTGCTTGCGGGAGCGGTGTGAGCATGGCACGGAGTTTGATCAGATGGTGGAGATGATGAGGATCGCTTGCTGGTGCTGTAGAGACGCTCCATCGAAGCGTCCTAGCATGCAGGAGGTGGCGAGCTTGTTGGAGCGGCTAGAGAAGCGCGTGGTTCTTGGTGGTGGTGGTGGTGGTGGTGGATCGCCGACGGCGCTGCTCGAGAGAGATCGAGATGGGAGGAGCAGCAGCACCAGCAGTAGCAGCAGCGCTCCAGTCGATGATCCTTGCGTGGTTGAGCTCACAACCACGGTATAGTGTAAACTTTTACTCGAGAAAGGAAAGCTTACAACAAACATGCCAATGGTGGCCGGGCGATGCAATCGAGCAATGGGCTCTTGGGTCTTGTGAGGTTTCGCTACGGCGGAGGCGATCATTGCGTCGCTGGATCCAATCGCGAAGGATGTTTACCTTCGCCAACAATCTGATTGAGATGTATGGGAAATGTATAGTTAAATCCCTTAACTTGTCGAGAAGCTCGCCGCTAGAGGGTATAATTTATGATCAAGTCCATAACTATCAATCCTTTAAGAATTTTGGTGATGTACAAATTTCTCTCAAACTCTCTTCTTTGGATTCTCTTGTTTTGCTCATGAGTGTCAGAAGCTTGAAACTCTCTTCGCTGTGTTTGCATGCTTGGAGCGACATGAGCATACAGCCAACTACAATCTTTTCATCACTGGTTTCCTTCCTCCGAAGAAGGCAGCCTTGAAATTCATCAAAAGCTTCATCACAAATGTTCTAGAACTGAAGAGCATTGCAGTTCAAGCTGCGTCTGATGCATGAAGGCCAGCTGGTGTATTTACCGCTAGTCAGATTGAATCCAGACTCAGCCTATAAGGAGGGGCAAAAAAACGCCTTGGAAATCTGAGCCATGCTGCTTTTCAGGAAAGGTAAATCTCAGCTTCTTTCGTGCAGTTCACATATGCTTTGTGCTTATTATCATCAGACTCCAAACTTGCATTTGAGGGTCAACAACGAGGACGAACGAGAAGAATTGATCAAGAAATGCTCGTCCAAATGCTCGCTTCATTTGTTCCGAAACATCAACTCTCATCATTGCAATGGCAACAAGCTCAAAGGTGAAAACAGTGTTTCCAATCGATCAAGCCCCATGCTACAATGGATACGCAGCTGTTATCAATGTGAAACTCGCAGACACAGACGATTACTTCTCCAACGAAGTGGGAAGAGCGATAGGATTTGTGACTGCTCACGAAGTGCCTTCATAATCGGGACCCACATTTTATGTGAGTGGAGGGTCCTTGGGATGCTAAACCAAACTTTTTCTTGTAGTGTTATGGAGTTGGGAAACTGTGTTGTGTGTTGAGAGTGGCCTACAATCAAGAAGGTAATCAAGAGAGTGGACAACAAATTTTACGACTCTGAGAGGTTGAGCTCATGAGGGAGTGCAAGCACGAGAACGTCGTGAAAGTTCTTGACATGGGCAAGGAAGAAGATGGAGGTTACATGGTTCTCGAGCACTTTTGGCATATTAGAATTCAATAAGGATGGGCGACTACGTTACAAGCTCTCTAAGGTGGGCTGGATTAAGGAAACCATGTGGTAGCTTCTAATGGGTTTAGCAGGCTTGCAAGCGAGAAGTTGTGATCCTGCCCGAGTCAACTCTACCAACACTAAATTGGATCACTAGGATTCAGGGCTCCTGAAGCTATCTCCACAGAAGTTTGGAAAAGGTGTGGACATGTGGTTAAGAAGCCTTTCAAGTGGTTATAGAAATTATGATTTAGGAGGATGAGGCAAAGGTGATAGATAAAATGAAGAAATTATACAAGAAAGATTGGTCTAAGAAGATTGAAGCCAAGGATGTAGTGGATTTGTTATGGCGTTCGCTCGTTTGAGATCAGTTTACGCTCACAAGCTTTAGGTGATAATAGAAAATACCCAAGAAAAGAAAGTAGTAGTAGTATCTGTTGTCAAAGAAGAAAAGGTAATGGCAAATACCCTTTCCAAACGTTATGTCTGTTCTTAAAAGAATTTTCTTAAATTGCATAGTGTAATTTCTTTCTAGGTAAAGAGGCCGCCAGATTTTCTCACTCAGTTCTTGAGCGCCAGAATTCTGCTGCTCTCCTTGTGCTCAGCTTCGCTCCTCTTCTCGAGATCTTGGACACCAAGGAGCTGCTCGATCACCAAAGCCATATCATCCCAGCTTCTCCAGAGTTCACATTTAACTTCCTTGCGAATTCCACCACGGCGTCCTTGAGAGCTATTGCTGCCGAGTTCGACAACTCCTCCACGAAAAAGAACGAAAACTTCGTTCGAGTGTGGGATTCCCGGCTCGCAGACGTTGTGTTCGTGCCTTCTTCGCAGCTCTCTGCACGCGGCGGCGCTGGAATGCTGAGGCGGCATATCGAATCGCTGCAAGACAAGAATATCTGACGGTTGAAATGAATGACTTCGAAGGCCGCCCGGAAAAATTTCCCTGTACAATCCACCGCAGCCTTGGGTGCGAACAACGTGCCTCTGCGCGCTTGCAATCCCGGGCTTGTAAAGCGGCGTCCACCTCCTCGCGTTGCATCTGAAAGATGGGATCAAATGCAATCGATCGGCAGCAATTCATGCTACTCCGGAGATCAAGCTCGTCACCATCTTCAACGACGCGGGCCTCAAGTCTATGAGAGAAACAAAAGCGTCTACCAGAGTCCCTTGTAAAAGCTATCCTGTTGATGGATTGTAGAGGCAAGTGGTAGATGGCGGCTTAGGCGGCCACCATCCCCGTCCACGACACCACGTCTCGCTCTTGTTGTGCCATTGTGATGTTCCAGGAGAGACGTTTAGCTGCCGGATTCTGGGTGCGCTTGATCTCAGCCCTTGGTGGGCTTGATTTCAGGCGCTTGGCTGCCGCTTGAATCTGCAGGAACCACAAGCTCGTCGGGGGTCGCTGGTGGGTGGGACGTGATAGCTTGATCCAAGTTGAATGGCGCCACGATGCATTGTTGCGTGCGATTCACTCCAACTGGCTTGACTTGGAAGACTACACTGGACGCTTGAAGTCAGATAGTTATTTCGTCTTTCTTCCAGCTTTGATGGTTCAACGCGCTTCAAAGTCATCTACCGTTGACTTGGTTTTCCTTAAACATCAGTCAAAGCTGGTTGACTAGATTATTCTGTTAGACAGATAAACACATATTTTGGATTAAATATTATTTATTTTGTGCTCTTTAAAGGTTATATTGGCATTATTATTTTAGTGACTAAGTAACAAAAAATTAATAATATCGTGCACCCTGGCATTAAGATGGTGTGGTCAGAATGAAGATGAAGATCAAGACGGACCAGAGTAAAGTGAACATTCATGTCAATTGGGCAGAAATAGGGAGAAACACCAAAAAGCTCTGGAAGAACGTACCAAAAGCGTCGGCCAGAGTCCCTTATAAAGGAATCCTGTTGATGGATTGTGCAAAGCGCGTGATCGATGCGGCCACCGTCCCGTCCACGACACCTCATCTCGCTCCGCCATCTTGTTGTGCCGTTGTGTGATGTTCCAGAGAAGACGTTTGGATGCCGGATGCTGGATCTCTTGGTGGCACTCGGACATCCGGCATGATTTCAGGCGCTTGGCCGCCATTTCAATCGACAAACTGGTGGAGCGTGATCGTTTGATCCAAGCTGACTGCATTGTTGCTTGCGATTCAATCGGAAGACTACGCTGGAGCATCGACACGAGGTTCCTGAACTCCGCCGCGGCCAGATCCCCTGCCTGGGCATACGCGACGAGCATCGCGGTCCACGCCACGATATCCCTCTCGGCCATGCTCTCGAACGCCCACCTCGCCTCAAGAAGATGCCCGGATTGGGCATATACCACAAAATGCGTCCAGGATTCGAGTTTGTTTTTTTTAAGGTCAATCGGTACAGTCCACCAAGTCGAACTGTCCAAGTCCACATTCTATCCCAATACATATCGTGTAAACTCTGGCGAAAAGAGCCTCATCTTTCACGATAGCTTCCACTCTTCGATGTTCTTGTCGAGATGTCAGTCTTGATCAGCTGACGTGGCATGTCCACGTGGTCATGAGTCATGTCCCTTGAGTTATGTAAAAAGAGTCGGAACACAATGAACGCTCATGAGTGTTATGTCCATCCCTTTTCACACCACAACATGGTATCGGATTTCGGGGACGATCCTGGTTGGTTGATTTGACGTTGCTGTCATGGCCGCTTCAACCCCACCACCACCTCCGCCGCCCCCTGCTGCCGCCGCCGCCGCCGCCACCGGTTGCTGCTCAAGTTCTCGTGGCTTCCACAGAGAAGGTGGAGAAATTCAGTGGCACGAATTTCTTCACATGGGCGACAAGAATCAGGCTGATCCTCTCTGCAAAACGAGCGTGGAACATCGTTGATGGGACTGAGCCTCGTGCCGCTGAGCAGACGCTACAATCAGATTGGGATTTTCGCAATCAGCAAGCCATCACCGTCATTGGCTTGGGATTAAGCGATGAATTCTTGCCGCTCATTGATCTCACCAAGACCGCTGCTGAAATCTGGACGTCGCTTCGCACGATCTTCGTGGCCCAAGCCGCAAATTCTTCCATGTTGCTGAATCAACAATTCTTGGCGCTTCACATGGAAACGGGTGAAACCATTGCTGTCTACGTGGGACGGATTCAAGGGCTAATGGCTGAATTGACTGGTGCTGGGTCTCCTGTCACGGACGATCGCGCCAGGGCGTTGCTGCTTGCAACCATCACGCCTGCGTTTAGCACACTCGCATCTGTTCTATCTCACATGGCAATGAACTTTGATCAAGTAATTGAAGAGGAACGCAAGATAAAGGGGAAGAAAGAAGCGATGCCCTCAGCCAAATCTTCCTTGCTTTATGCTGGCGCTGCGGGAGGATCATCCTCGTCCTCTCAAGCTCAGCCGAACGACACTGGTTTTCGTGGCATGTGTCACTATTGCCACAAACCTGGACACTTGGCGAGGGATTGCAAGAAGAAGAAAGCTGATCGTGCTAAAGCTGCCAAGAACAAAGACAAAGGAAACAAAGACAAGGGCTCTGGGACTCCTCGTAAGCTCTTGATGGCTCGCTCTGCAAGCAGCAGCCACCAGCCCGTGCTTGGACCAGAGCTGTGGCTGGATTCTGGAGCGTCATTCCATATGACGCCCATGGCTTCCTTGTTTTTTGACTACCAAGAACCGTGTGAGAGTGACGCTGTGGGACTCGGTGACTCCTCTGCTCACGACGTACTAGGCAAAGGAACAATCAGGGTTTAGCTCTCTTCTGGAGAAATCCAGGAGATCTATCCTGTGTCTTATGTTCTAGACCTTCAACCATCTGCT